ATTTCCTCTTCTCTTTTCTCTCATTCTCTTGGTCGTTCCTCTCGTCTCTCCCTCTTTTCCTCTCACTTTGTTGCTAATTAAGAATAAGAAAAATACCAAATTTTGTCTCGTTAGTTGTATTGCTTAAGGTTTTCCTCTCCGTCAATAAGTCGTAAGTTTCCTAGATAGTCTTATATTTTTTGGGTAGTGCTAGGGTTTCATTGGTTTGTTGATTTATGTGTGATTCGAGAATTATTATTATCGTGTAGAAGATCTAGCGGGTGTGGACCATCGATTCTAAGTTTTGGTGCTTTGGATTTTGATTGGTTGAGGTAAGATTTATATTCATCACTTTTACTATACCCAAATTGATACTCATGGTATTTTGAGAAATTATTATATATTTTACAAATTGATTTTCTGAAAAATTTCCATTGTTATGTGGATTTTGTGAAAATATTGTGTTTGGGTGAAGTGATTGATTTTTTTTTTTTTTTTTTTTTTTGAGTGTATATACAAATTCCTGAGCATTATGCTATTTTTCAAAGTATATGGACATTTATATTTCGAGTACAAGGTGGAATTTTTTAAAATTGGTGAATCATTGTGGTTTTGGATTTTTCACACATTGGTGGTGGTGGTGGTGGTGGTGGTGTGTGTGTGTGTGTGTGAATTCACAAATTTGGTTATATTATTGATTGATACTTACCGGAGTGGGCTGAGTAGTTAATCACACGATTGGTTTTGATTTTGGAGTTTATTATTACATATCGGTGTGGGCCTGGTAATTAATCCCACGGACTCCCCGAGCTTTTTCTACTCATTAGGCTTGCGTCCCTTTCGGAGTATACATACTTAAAGAATCAGACTCGAACCAACTGGGGTGCATCTGGTTGGTTTTGGTTTGGGGGTGTAACTGTCTAAGTATTGACTTCTTGATGGGTATTTTCATCATTCCTTGACTTGGTGCTAAATTATGTATATTTTTATAATGAAATATAACTTATGTTTTATAAAATTCTAGTTTTGTGTGAGTAAAATTTTATTTTGGTGTGAGTTATTTTTACAGTCCTCTATAATATAGTTATCCTCAATACAATTATATATATATATATATATATATATATATATATATATATATATATATATATATATATATATATATATATATATATATATATATAGGGATCAGTTCACGTGCGAAGACTACCCCAGGTGAAAGATGAGGTGAAATTTGAGCTAACTCAAATTAAGAAAAATTATTTTTTTAAAATGCACTATCGATATTTTCATCTCTTAAGCTTTAGAATATGAACAAACAGGTGAATTTTTCATTTCTCTCAGATATTCTAAAGCTATTTGTTCTTGAGAAATTTGAGGAAGTGCTGTAGATTTATGATGGGATGAAATTGGTTGATTGTAAACCCGGTACACTTCCTATATATAATAAAGCTATATGGTCTTGTGAAAATTGAATGTTGCATTTAATTTTCACAAGACCATATGACTTTAAGATGTGAAAGTCTTGTGAAAATTAAATGGGCTTTAAGATGTGAAAATTACTTTAAGATGTGAAAATTAAATGCAACATTTAATTTTCACATCTTAAAGCCATATGGCTTTAAGAAGCATGCATGCAACCCCAAAGTCCATAAGTTTGAAATTAATATATAGCATAGCTATGTGGCTTAATATTTAAGATTGTTGATGTGCATATTGAGGACTACGGAGACAAAGATGCGTTATTCGTGGATTCATCGGATACTATCCAACAACACTCTCCAACTTAATTGACGTGAAGTATGCTTAGTAACATTAAGATTATATTCTCGAATTATTAGTTCTCATCTTTTATTGATTACACACTTAATTCGATAGTATTTGGAAGAAAAAAATCAATGTTCTAACTAAGATTGTGATTTTGGTCTTTAAAGGTCAATTGTATGTTGCTACATCTAGAGTTAGAAATCTCAAAGGTCTAAAAATTTTGATCCGTGGTGACTCTAAAATTGTAATTCAATTACTATTGTAGTTTACTAAGTTCTTAAAATTTATAATATTAAATACTATGTACTAAATTTTTAATATAGTTTAAGATTTGTAGTAATCACCCACCTTAAATATTATTTTAATTGTAAATATATTTATGTTCATAATTTTATCATAGGAATTCACACATAATAATTATTAAATAACAAAAATTTTATATATGAATAAACCTCATATAGTGTATATTTTTATAACATATTTTCCGTGCATCGCACGGGACAAATGCTAGTTTCTATAATGCCCTGATTCATAAATTAGGCAGGGCACAACTAAAAGAGGCTGGATATGTATTTAAAGTTGGAATGCAGATAAATAGCGTCAAACCAAACACTTCAAGATATAAAACTACACACATTAAGTTATAAAATCACGCACCTTAAGGTATAAAACAATGCACCTTAAGAAGGAAAACAACACACCTTAAAAAGAAAAACCACGCACCTAAAGCTTTAGACCGGTGCACCTTAAGAAGGAAAACAACGCACCTTAAGAAGGAAAATCACACACCTAAAGCTTTAGGCCAACGCACCTTAAGTTTCAACAACTGACGCACTTTAAGCACACATACCACGTACATTAAGAAGGAAAACCATGCACCTATAGCTTTAGAACTACGCACCTCACCTTCCGTGGTACCCACTCGAGAGGTTGTAGAATCGAGTAGTGAGGTAGAGCCCAAAACCACTGGAGGAGACAAACCATTCGCAACTCCTAGTTCTTTTGATGAAGGAGTTTTAGCATCTACAGATTCTAGCTCATCTAGTGGTGGAAACATGGACGCGCCACCTGGTGCGAGCTCAGAGAATCTATTTTCCGTTGATGTTGGTTAGGACTAGACACCCTCACCTTCACCAAGGCCAGTGGATCATTATCTTCTATGACGAATTTCTTAAAGACCATGACCGAGGAACAACAGTCAGTTTTCAGAAAAGGTGAAGATGGCTATCAAAAGGACTCAAAAGTAGCAGCTGCACTACAAAAAAATACGTAAATAGCGACAGACACATTCCGTTGCTAATATAGCGATTGAATATCGACAATGTAATGACAAATTTTACTTTTTTTTGATAAATAGACTTTTAACGACGGATTCGTGACGAATTTAGCAACGAAAATATTCCGTTGTTAAATACGTAGCTAATTTTAGCGGTAAATTTCCGCACAAAAATTAGAGACAAAATTGCGACAAATTTTTGCGGGCTAATTCCATAACTTCAATTGCTACATATTAGCGACGGGTATATTCATCCGTCGCTACATTTTCAAGCCAGACTCGTTTTTGTTTGCATGTTAGCGACATACTTGTTTATTCGTCGTTATCTAGTGACGAATGTTCAAATCTGTCGCTAAATATATATACCGGGACTATTCCATCGCAAACGCCGAGAGAAATATAGCGACGGATTATTTTTGTTTTGCAACGAAACTTTTCATCGTTAACAGTAGCAACGAAAATAAATTGCGTCACTAATCTTAGCGACGGATTTCACCTGTTTAGCGAAGGAAACGGGTTCGTCGCTATTTTCGTATTTTTTTTGTAGTGCTGAGACCAAATCTCAAGTGCACAAGGAAGCCCATGCCACTAGAAGATTTGTCCTCTCTCCGAATCAACCAACCGAATCAGCAAAGATAGATAATCAAGAATTCAAGGATTTGGTGGTGGAGTCCTTGTCATACTATGAACAGATGAAGAATTAGACCAACAAGCACTGGACACTATTCTTGTCATATGCTCAATACATTATTTTGATAATTTGTGCCATTTTAAATAAACTTGAAATTGAAGTACAAGTACCTAATCTTTTTATTTATTTTGTTGGTTATAGGATATTAGAAGGGGATTGAACTCAGTTAAGAGGATATGTAGAGAGCATGAAATTCCAGGGGTATTTGATCCGATATTTGAGTTGCTTGAGTGTGAAGATAGGTTCTTCACTGCTGTTGAAGTTACTGCTGGAAGCCTGGAAACAGGTAGGGGTGCAATTAGTAATTGTAAATAAACACCAGTTCAATCTTTCCCATCATTTTCCTCTAACACCTTTTTGATATGGCTTTAATGTTTAATATTTCAGCCTGGGAAGAAGCTCCCTACAAGGAGGCAGTTGAAATAATTGATGTTGGATCTAGGTCTCTTCTGTCTATTCATTATTACTTCTTTTTGTCAAGTTCAGTAACTTTGTTTTAGTGTTGTTTTTAAGAACCTCATGCCATAAATAGTTGTTTCATAGAATGTATTGAAACGACTTGATAATGTGGATTGATGATGTATTATTACTTGAACTTTATGTAGATTGATAAATTTTTAGAAATATGTATTTTTTTTAGAATTAATTGTGTTTTAGTATGTTTATTGTAGTTTTATATTAATATTTTAAAAGCTCATATTACTATTTATAAAAATAATAATAATTATAAACAATTTTTTTTTAAATAATTAAAAAATGCAACGGAAAAAAAAATTGACGACGGAATATTCGTTTCCAAAATGGTGACGAAATTAGCGTCAAAATAATTTCCGCTACCAAATTGTGACGGAATTGTGATGCCTTATTACGTCACCATATTTTGCGACGGAATTATTTTGTCGCGTACAAAAAAATGACAAGTCGATAGACGATAGAACGAATTCCGTCACAAAACGTGATTCGCGACGAAATTTTATTGTATCGCAGCAAAATTTTTCCGTCGCAATTCGCGATTTTTTCTTGTAGTGTAACAAGAGATAACAAAAACCAAAGAAAAAAGAACCCCTTTATTTCAAAAAAAATAATAATAAATAAATAAATAAAAAACAACCCCTCTACACTTTATGTAGTACCTCTGTGTCCAAGTCAGAAGTGAAATGAAACAGAATAAAGTAAATATGGAGTATGATAATAGCTACTTTTTAATTGATGTTTGCAAGTAGTATAAATATCCTCCATCTTACCAATTCACATGAATTGCAAAAACACTTGATGAGCTTTGAGAGATAACTATAAATACATATAAATATATAATAATACCATAACAATACAAAACAAGTTTGTAAAACTTGGTAATTCAAATACATCTATAAATACATTGTAAATATGGTCCTCAACAGTTCACTAGAGATGTACCTTGATTAAAAACCCACTTAGAATATGATCCTAATTATCGTGGTATGAAATATCACCAGTTGCCTTGATGAAAAATCAATTGCCATTGGCAGCTTCATATGTGTATACAACGAAAGATCGTCTTAGGTAATTCCATCCAAACGAGAAAAATAATGTGGGAATCTCATCTCAGAATCAAGAATGGAAATCATCTCATCCAATTTTTCCATCCATGGATTTGACTCTCTTCCTGCTGCAAAAATTGTCATTTGATTATCCACTTCAATCCAACTAAAACCAGGCATCTTTTTAACCCCTTCACTCACCATTGCTTGCCTGACCATCTCTGCTTCTTTCCACTGCCCACTTGCACAATAGAGGTTTGACAACAAGATATAGCTCATCTCATTCTGGGGATCTAAACTTTTAAGAAGTTTTCCTAATTCGTTTCCCAATTCTATGTTGTTTTGAGCAGAACAAGCTCCAAATAGAACTTCTTGTAGTAGCATTGTATTTTGTTTTCCAAAGTACTCACTAGCAATCTTTCTTGCTTCTTCAATATGGCCACCGCGACCTAATATGTCAACCACGCAAGTCACATGATCAATTCCTGGTGAAATTCCGTAAACACTACTCATTGACTCGAACAGAGTCCTAGCATTATCTACAAGCCCTGAGTGGCTACAACTCATAAACAATCCTATAAATGTTACTTTATCTGGAGTTACCCCACATACCAGCATTTCCTCAAGAAGCTGAACAGCTTGCTTAGACCATCCATGTAGCCCATATGAAAACAGCATGGTGTTCCATGAGATCAAATCCTTCAAATAAATGTCACAAAATGCAGCTTGTGAATCTCTTATCTCCCCACATTTAGCATACATATTAACCAAGCCATTTCCAACATATGTATGGGTAAATAAGCCACTCTTAAATCCACAAGCATGGATCATTTTACCATGACCTAGCACAGCTAAGGTAGAACAAGCATGCAAGACAGCTCCAAATGTAAACTCATCTGGCTTGATATCATTTCTTGTCATATCTACAAAGAAATATATTGCATGTTCTCCATGGCCATTTCTAGCAAATCCTGCAATCATAGATGTCCATGAAACAAGATTCTTCTCAGGTGACTGGGTGAATACAGTAAATGCTTCATCTATGTTGCCTACTTTCATGTGAGCATCAATTATAGCATTCCAAGACACTTGGTTGAGAACATCAATGCTGTGAACCATCTTCAGAACATCATTATGGCAATTCACACTAGCATAGAAACTAAGAATAGAATTGTTTACCTCGCTTGCAGAACTCCAACCACTTTTGAGAATATAACCATGTAGCATAAAACCGAGAAATTTTTGTCTTGATTCAGCACAAGCATTCATGAGAGCACTCAAAGTCCATTGGTCTGGAGTGGATAGCGCATTAAACATATCCTTAAACAAGCCCACTGACAACTTAGCTTCACCCTGTCTAGCATGTCCAGCAATCATAGTATTAAATGCAATCACCCCTTTCTTTGGCATTGCATTGAACAAATTGGCTGCTACATCCAACTTATTCACATTAACATATGCAAACAATAATGAACACCATGACACTTCATTCGTGACTTCCATCTCTTCAAACACTTTGTTTGCATCAAAATGGCTGAAACATTTCCCATACATATCAATTAGTGAATTATTCACTGACAAATATGCATTGTAACCTGAAACAATCACAAGTGCATGGATTTTATGCCCGTATTTAAGCTCACATGAGGATGCACATGCACTAAGCGTTGATGTAAATGTGAAGTGATCTGGCCTAACAACACCGGTCCTCAAGCTCCGGAACAAAGAGAGAGCTTCTTGGTGGAGACCCAATTGGGAATAGCTGCTGAGCATTGAGTTCCAAGCTACTATATCTCTCAGCACCATTTCATCGAATACCTTCCGAGCGTATTCGATCTGGCCAGACCTAGCAAGTGCTTTGATTTTTGAAGTAATATTGACCAAATGTGACTGCATGAGAATTTGTTGGATTCTTGGACGGTTAAACTGTCATGACATTTTAAGCTTTAAAGAGTTTTGTTCTGACGATAATTAGCAAAGCAAAATGCATATATAATATATTTCCCTCTACGGGTTTTTAATTTTTTTATTTATTTTTCTGTAGCTTTTCCTATTACTTTATTTTGAATTCTTGTACTTTATATTTTCTCTCTTTCAAGACTACTCTTACCTAGGGGTGGGCAATTTTTTTTTTTTTGGGTTCAGTTCAGTTTAGGTTTTTTCAATTTTGAAAAAAATGAAGTCATTCGATTTAACATTGTAGTTTGGTTCAATTTAAAAGAGTTCGATTTCGACTCAGATTTAGCCCGATTCGGTTTGAGAACCCGAACATTTCCTTGTAAACAAAAATGAAGAATCATCCATTTGTTTTGAATTCTACAAGCAAAAAGAAAATTATGTGAATTCTACAAGAATACAAGCCATTTTATTAGATTCACTATCACCAGAATTTATTAAAGCAACATAAGTTACATTTTGAAGTCCACAAGTTATAGAGACAGGTGGGTCTAAAGCAGCAGTTAGACAATTTTAGGCTTTTAGCACAAGTATAACCAATTTCTCTAGAGCTACACACTTTCCTAAAAGAACACCCAGCTTTGGTTCCTGGTGGACACTGTAAGTCTGTAACATTCAACAATAAAACAAACATGCCCTAACACACTATGCACTTGCTCTTATTTCTCACCCTTTTCCTATATACCACTGCATGGAAAGAAAAGAATTCACATAAATCAAATGCCATTTTTTAAAAAAGAATTAGACTTCTAAAATCCCTGTATCAAACAGTGATCTAAGATCTTCTTATCATACCATAAATCATCAAAGAAAGCATCAAGAAGTTTTTACATGATTAGATGAATTGGCAGCAAACACAATACCAAAAACAATGGCAATTAAGTGAATTAACAAGCACAACTGCATGTCTGCACAACTGCACCTCACCAGCATCATTCACAGATTTAGAATCAATTTTTTTCCTTAAAAACATTTACTATAACAAGAAATTCTCAAATCAACCTTAAGTGGTTAAAGTCCCCACTCCCAACGGTATCTCAAATCAGGCTAGGTGCACTTTTCGCCGGTTCTCAGTATCTCAAATCAGTCTTAACTTTAAAATGTGAATCTTTAGTGATAGATACCCCTAGTAGGGTACCCAGTCAGGTGTGCCCCTAGGTCCCGACCGGGTGCCGATTCCAAAGGCGGTTGACGAAGATTTTGCGAAGATTCTTTCCATTGGTGGCGAGGAATTTTCCTTTTTTTTATTAGGAAGTTAATCTAGCAGTTTTAGAAGCTTTCCTAAGTTTAATTTAGTTAATTTTTCTTTCTTGCCTTTTTCAAGGCCCAAATCTCTTGTATAAATACCCTCCTATGGTCACATTGTGAGGGGTTTTGAATTCAATACAAGCACCGTTACTCTGACTTATTTTTCTCACATATATTCTCTCTTTTACTTAGTACTTTTACGGTAGCACTAGTACAGAGATGGCCTTTAACGTCGGATTTTTAGGCCATTTAACGTCGGTTAAAAACCGACGTTGTTCTGGCCGACGTTATAAACTAATTATACGACGTCGGTTATATAAATAACTGACGTCGTATATTATTTTGTTTATTTATTAAATATAACTTACAACATCAGCTTTTTACAAAAAACCGACGTGGTATGTTAATTTTTTAAAATTAACATACCACATCGGTTTTTCTGTAAATAACTGACGTGGTATGTTATTAAAAAAAAAAAAAAAAATTAGTGCCTACAACCAGGGAACTGGAGACTCAAATAGTGCCTCCATGCGTCACAATTAGTTTTATGCATGGACCCCAACCATCAAACACCAATACTGATAATTAAAAACTCTAATTGCATGGACCCCACCCCAGTTTTTCCACTTGAATGTGAACATAACAATTCTAAAACAGGCTAATTAACTGCTAGTGCTCTCAAAAATATTCAACCCCTTGTGCAACCACATCAATTGAGCTTGTATTTCACCCTGTACAAGAGTACCATTCTTACCCAAGTCCTAAACACTACTAGTTCAAGAGAATAAGTTAAATTATATCAAAATTCATAGAAAAAATATCACACACACACTATATCTATACAAATACAAATACAACTTACCAAAAGCCGATTAACAGTCAACACCACAGCGTCGGAGCTCAACCTGAGGGATTGGGTAGCAAAGGAGTATGCATGGCATAGAAGTTGGCAATAGTAGCAGAAATTGATTGAAAACAATTCTTTTCATCCTCCCAGCCAATCTACCAAAGTGAATCTGTCCTTATCATTTTATGAACTCGAGTTTTTTGTGATTTTATCCCTGTAACGGGCAAGATTAGCTAATTGGATTATAAAAAAGAAAATCTAAAAAGTTAGAACAATTCTACACATCAGATCAAGTACATTTGCCATAATTCAAGGATAAATTGGGAATATATCCACTATACCAGATTTGGAGGGATCTTTTTGTGAATCTTGGTTTGTAGCCAAAGGACTAGATGAAGAAAGATCCATTGTCTGCACCATATTAGAAATAGAGCATAAAGTTAGAAAAAGAAAAAGATGGCATGCAGAGTATGACTCATAATGAAGCATGCAAGGATTTGGGTTTAACTACAGGAATAAATGAAGATCCAAAAGTATAAAGTTTATTCTGATTAAGTGACTATGCTCTCAGAAATGTAATGTCCTTTGGATAGTACACATAAAAAAACTACCATGCATCATTGCACACTGTGCTCTGTGTTGTGAGAGCAATATTTACTTTGAATGAGTTGGTTTTTCACTTTGGGTAAACTACTGTTTCATTTTCAATTCTTATCTTAAAATAATGTTCACTTAGAATGCACTAATGTCCGCATGCATACGGCGAATCACTTTAGATGAACTAATGTTGGCCTTGAATTTCTCCTAACTGTTCTTTGGATAGAGGTTCAAAGATCATGATGGCCTTAGTAGCAATTTCTTTCCTTTGCAGGGAATTGGGTGAACTATCCAAAGAACATTTAATGTGAACAAACCACTGCACAATAATGCTATTTGGTTCTGCACCCTAACGTAAATCCATCCATTTCTCCATTAGATTTCATGCTTAGTTAACAGTTATCATATATCAAAATAAGCTAATTGTTACTAACTTTTGAATTTTCAGCTTTAACCTAGCTTACAAGTTAAGTATGCTAAACAGAACCTCAGTTGCAACCTATTTAAAATACAAAGTTAATTAATTTGAACCCAAATTTGTCAGATAAAAAATCTGCAGCTTTGGATTTGTTGGGTGTATAAAAAGAGTAAAGTTGGGGATCTGAGTTGGTCTGCAAATTTGAGTACAAAGTTAAAACACTAAAACTGTTAAATTAAACTCATTGTGAATTTTCACTTAGATCTACCATTCTACCTGTTCTTTGAAGTTAAGAAATTAGTGGGCTCTGTGGGTGTTAGGATCAAGTCAAATTTAGGGGTTTTGTCAACATGCAGAACAAACCAATTAAGAGAGATTCCTACAAGCAAGAAATCTCTGGCCAAAAGGATGTATCTAATGGCCCTATAATGCCAGAACAGGAGCATTCTAGAGCCTAGACTTCCAGTCACAAAGTGTAGACTAGCCAATAAGGATAGGAACAAAATGAATCCCCTTGGACCAATCCCCTCTCTCACACTATACGGAATATACGAGGAAAGCAAATCATCCTGATTTTCCAACCTCATTAAGCCCACTTCACCAGTAACATAATCACCGGAACACTTCTAACTTCATAATTTTGATTAATCTGTAGTTGAACAACTGCCGAGCCCTATTTGGGGTGAACTCTCCCAACATCTATTCTAACTTCATAATAAGCATAGTGGAATAAACATTAGAGTATAAACATCTAGTCAAATGTCTCATGGTAGAAGATTTAGAACAGCAAAGAAAAATGTTAAAACACTACCGAGGGAATAGCTAGGTACCATACCGAGGGAATAGCTAGGGTTTCATATTCAATTCATCATTCAAAGTTAATATATTCACAATCAGTAACAGACGGAGGAATTGAACTAAAATCAGAACGAGTAACATTCGAAGTTAAAATTGAACTAAAATCAGTCACAACCGGAGGAATTATTTAAAGAATTACCAGTCACAAACGGAGGAGGAGGCGACGGCGACGGAGTTCTGCTGCACGGTGACGGCGACGGCTGCAAGGTGACGGCGACGGCTGATCGGTGACGGCGACGGCTGCACGGTGACGGCGACGGCGGCGCTCTGCTGCGTTCTGCGATGGCTGCGTCGACGGAGTTCTGCTCTGGAGTGTTATGCTGCGTCGATGGTGCTGAGATGGAGTTCTATCTGAGATGGCTGCGTTCTGAGAAATTTTAATTTTAATTTTATTTTAGGAAAAATGACACTTTTTCCCCCTTTGTTATTATATACTTATAGCACTTTTCTCTCTAAATTATTTAAGTGGCAGTTTTTCCCCCTGATATATTAAATGGACATATATTAAATGGACATATTTACCCTTAAAATAAATATTTCATTTATTTTTCTTCTCCAACAAATTATAACCACGATTTGAAAAAATAAAATACATTAAGTGTTGAATTTAGAATATTTTAAAAATAAAAAAATAAAATTTTAAAAGAAAGTTTGAACCAACCGTTCAAATTCGATCCAAAATCGTGAACCGACGGTTCAAAATAAAACTCAAAACGTGATTATATATACTTATATGTGAGAGTCAATATAAATGCGGAAAAAAACATACACTATTTACAAATATTATAATTATAATTTAAGCTATTGCTAGTAGTTGTTCCGATTTGAACCTCTGGTTCACGGTTCAGGATCCATTTTTTTCCAGTTCACGATTTTAATAAACGGAAACTCAAATATTGGGTTATGTTATGAATCATAACCGAAATTTTTTAATTTTATTGCTATAGTGTTTGGTTCAGTTCGAACCGAACCGTGGTCATCCCTACGTATAAACAATAATTTGTTGAAGAAGAGAAATAAATAAAACATTTGTTTTAAGGGTAGAAATGTCCATTTAATATTATCAGAGGGAAAAATCGCCACTTCTATAATAATTGAGGGGGCAAATGTGAATGCATGAATAACACAGGGAGGAAAAGTGCTATAAGCATATAATACAGGGGGAAAAAGTGTCATTTTCCCTTTATTTTATTTTAACTTTAGTTTTAATTTTAATTAATTTTAATTTTAGTTTTAAATTGATTTTTTTTTGAGAAATAATTTGTGATTTTCAAAACGTCACCGTTTTAGTCGTGCAAACGGACAGAAATAATTTTACAGGAGAACTACGTCGCTTATTTCGAGACGAAAATAACGACCGATTTTCGTTCCAATGGCGACATAAATTGCTACCAATTGTATTTTGTGTTTTTGTTAAATTTTATTTTCTTCTAGAAAAGCTAGAAGAAAATAAAGAAACAAACGATCTTCTTTAGGAAAACACACATACTAGAGAAACAGTCTGGACTTCATACACCATTCAATTTAACAAAACATGAGCAGAAAATTTGAAAAAAATAAAATAAAATACAATGGCCATTGAGCTCCACTCTTTGGCCAAGAAAAAAAAAAAAAAAAAAACAAGAATGATTGTTTATCTACTATCTACTATCTATCTACTATACTAATAAGAGCCCAAAAAAGTTAGGCTTATAATGGGTAAAAAAATGACGGTTAAATTTTTTAATCAAATGAATGGCTCAGATTGATTAGATTTTAATCTGTTCTTAAGATTTCCTAATTTATCTTAATGAATATGATTATCCGTTAAATATTATCTTTTCCGTTAATTTCTGTTAGTTCACCGTTAACTTACTCATTGATTTCAATAAAAAAGGTCTTAGGTTCGAACCTCATCCCGATCAAAGTTGACATAATTAATACTCTATTTTACTCTTATTAAATTATAAAAAATAATAATACTTTAGTAGCTACAACAAAAAATAATACATATGCATTTCTTTAATTTAGAATTATGTGTCTACAATGTCTTTATTCAAAAAAAATTATTCATTATCAATAAATTAAATAAGAGAAATAATTTCATTTGTTATATTGTCTTTATTTTTCTCCAATATAAAAACTGTTTACATTCAAATTCATCAATTGATTATATTCGCTACATTGCCCCTACAATGTCTTTATTAAAAAAAAAAAAAAAGAAATTATTCATTATCAATAAATTAATTAAGAGAAATAATTTTATTAGTTATATTGTTTTTATATTTCCCCAATGTAAAAATCCTTTACATTCAAATTTATCAATTGATTATATTCACTACATTGTCTGTTATCTTTTTTGTGCACTATTTTTTAATTAAATATCAAAGTTAAAATACAAAATAATGCTACATATTTATTTACCAAGTATTTTATTAATACCATGAAAAAATTAAAAAATTGTAATTAATAAAGCCAATCATATTAACTACTTGAGGCATTTGTTGACAAAGATAATATTCAAATCACACAACAAATTGAGGTGAGAATTTCCTTGCAATGTCCTTGTTTGACAATCACCAGTTAGCGATTAGTGTTAGCAGATTATATTAGTGGATTTGACCAACGAATTATATCAACGGTGGGTAAAAAGATATTTGAAAAAATTAGCTGTTTAGATTAACATGTAAAATGACCTAAGGGTATATATATATTTAATAATAATAATAATAATAATACTAATAATAATAATAATAATAATAATAATAATAATAATAATAATAATAATAATAATAATAATAGTTTTAAAAAAATTAAGTTAATCATATTAATTACTTGGGGGATTTATTGACAAAAAAAGTGTTCAAATCACACAACAAATTGAAGTGGGAAACTAACTCGCAATGTCCTTGTTTAGCAATCATCAGTTAGCTCTTCAATATTAGTATACATTTAATATTTTATGCCCTAATTTTTACTTGTTCTCCCGTATGTCCCGTATTTGGTTTCAACCATACCTATACAATTATTTTATTGACAATTATAATCAATCTTGACTGTATTATCTTGTATTTGTAAACTTAGAATTACCTATTTAAATACGCAAATTCAACATTCAATTATCTATGCATGAACAATTCTAATATAATCTTGCATTGATATACTTTAAAGTACTTATTTAAAAAAAAAAATATTGGGCATTATCTCAATCGCGCGTAAAAAACTAGTTTTACTTAATAAGAATAAAAATAGCAGTGAAAAACATGAGATAGGATGCTAATTAAAAGAATATGAATATCTACCAATAGTAAACCATCAAATGTATAAAACGTATGTTGTATTGTTATGTAAGTCATAATACCCATTTTAAAATGTCCACATGCAAAAAGAAACAGGAAATGACAATCTTTTCTTAAGTGATCATGTTTAATAGTTACAAACAGATTATAAAATTGGTATAAAAGCTTCAAGAAACCAATTATTATCTTCAAGAAACAGATTCATAAGAAAGCTTATTATAACAAAAGGTTGGTAAAATACTAATATGCAAACATATAAACAAGCACAAGCACAAGGCTGGCTCACTTAATTGGATGACATTAAAATGTGCAAACCGCAGTCCGCAGCAGAATTTGCTGGTACATGAGCTCTTTGCTGTGAAGCATCAAACAGAAGGAAATATCATCAAATCAATTTTTGCAGTAAATCCAACGGAATGAAAAAGACAAGCAGAAAATAAATTAAATTCATATTCTCAATATAGTATACAAGAGCAGAATGTTTAAAAACAACTAGTGTCATATTACTAGTAAAGTTAAACTCAATTTACGGGTATGCAGCTACTTGACATGACAACTTAGATGGAACTCATCAAAGAATAAAGGGAAAATAGCATATAAATCGGCACTAGAACCATTTTCCCTTCTTGCTATACAAATATATGTTAGATATACAATAGTCTAACTGTAATAAACCATAGTATACGAGAAACCTGACCTCGTATGATAGTGGAAGCGTAGCCGTGTTGATCTCCAGCCATAGTTGATGTTCCTGTTGTGTTGCCTCTTAACGGTAGACCGTTAGCCATATTTTGCCTCAGACCTGACTCAGAACCCTAGATAGTGTCTACTGAGCAGTCTGAGTACCGTAACGGAATGTGCTAACATCCATAAACCTGTATCCCATCAATCCAGGTTTATATTAGGCACAGAGTTTGGTTGACTAACAACTACTAGTTATTAAGTCCAACCAGACCACTTAATAAGCCTAGTCAACTTGCACAAGTTAATTAAGGCCCTAATATATAATATATAATATATATTATTAGGGAAAATCTTACATTCTCCCACTTGGTGCAAGTACTAGCACAACCTTCATCAAAGAACAAAACACACTAATCATAGTGATATGTCCTCTATTTAATCAGAGTAGTATCCATTATGATCACATGCATTTTAATTCTCCAACTTAGGTCCTTAATGAGCAAACCCTATGTTTATTCTTGGTACCTTAAAGGGATGTTTCTCAAAATACATTATGTGCACAACTAAAGGAGAAAACGCATCCAAATCTATATTCTATATATATATATAAGTAAAATCCTCCTAACAAATTTTCCCCCCAAAACTTTTGTAGTAAAACTTATTTGGTAAGTAAATGTCAAATGGAAAATAAATAAATAAATAATAATAATAATAATAATAATAATAATAATAATAATAATAATAATAATAATAATAATAATAATAATAGTAATGTTATTACCTTAAATAAATAAATTATTATACTTTCCCTTAAATAAATAAATTATTATACTTTCCTTTTGAATTAGTATTTTCTACCTATAAATACAATGGCTTCTTCAATCAAAGAATCTCAGACTCATCTCTCTGCTTTCTCTTTGTATGAATTTTCTACATTTTTCTAACTATATTCTCACATACTTCAATATGTTTTGCAGTTTATATCATCTGGTATGAGTTTGAAGATACTTAAGGAGGCTCTGCTTCAACAAAAGGAAATTGAGGAGGAAGAGCATTTGTAACAGAACCCTATTGGTTTAGTTTTTATGGAAGAATGTAGAGATGCGATCGAGGATGATAAAGAAGGTAATTTTGATAATTTTGTAAGATTTTCTGAAACTTAGAGTTAGTATGTTGACTTCGAGATTTGTACATGCCATTCAAGTTTCTATGTTTTTTTTTTTTTTTTTTTTTTTTTTTTTTTTTTTTTTACCAAGCAGAGTTCATTTTACAGCATTTCACAGCATTTTTATATATATCATTTGAGTAGAGTGTTTGTTTAACCTATTAAAAATCTCGCTATATTTGATTTTTTCTAAATTTTTGTAAAACACAAAAATAATGATTATTTAAAAAGAA